GAAAGAAAAAAATAAATCAAAGAGAGTGCAGGGAAGGAAATGTGTGTCAAGATCAAGTGGCAGAGTTGACCAACAAGTAACTGTAAGGTGCCCCGGTGGCTGTTGTTCATACGGTGGGTGGTTCTCACCCAGTCTTCTTGTAAAGATTTACAGCCTTCTAGAGCTGATGGAGGGGCCCCATAGGTTGGAAATGTCGTGATGGCAGTTAGCTCTGGCTTTTACAATGTCACTGTAGGAGCCCTGGGGGCACAGAGGGTAAAGTGCTTGCATGCAAACCAACAGACGAGCGGTTCAAACCTCTAGCTGCTCCAGAGGGGAAGGATGTGACAGTCTACATCCACACATACGTGCAGCCTCGGGGATCTGATGGAGGGATGCTCTGAGTCAGAACTCACTTGACAGCAACGAGTCAGAGAAGCGAGCAATGGACTTGTTGTTAGGTGGGACCTCATGAACAACCAGTCTGAACCCCGTCCTTTCCCGTGTCACCCTCACAATCTCTGACACGCTGAAACCCACTGTCACAGTCACTGTGTCAAGCCACCTGGCTAAGGGTCTTCTCTTTTGCTGATCTTTCCAAGCATGATGTCACTCTCCAAAGACGAGCGTCTCTGCCCTAAGCATGTGAGACAAAGCTTCATCACCTTTGCCTCCAAGGAGCACTCTGACTGCACCTTCTCTAAGACACATCTGTTTTTCTTTTGGCAGTCCATGGGATATTCCATTCTTTTCTTCAACATCCCAGTTTGAAAGCATCAATTTTTATTCGGTCATCCTATTCATTGTCCAGGTCTCAGATGCATAGCAAGTGACTGAAAAGACCATTCCGTGAATCAGGCACACCTTAGTCCTCAAACTGACATCATTGCTCCTCAATAATTTGGAGCTGTCCTGACTGCAGATTTTCCTAGTGTAGTATGTCTCCTGATCTTCTGATTGCTGGCTCTATCAGTGCTGATTGTGGATCCAAGTAAGATGAAATCACTGGCAGTTTCAATCTTTTCTCCATCTATCATAATGTTATTATATTCTGGAGGAACATTCTTCTAAGTGATACAGCATTCTTCTGTCAATAAGATATGTTGAGGTAATTTGGGGTTGTTGTGATGCTAAATCTTGTGCCACTGGTGTGTCAAATGTCATAATGGTTACCCATGGTGGACAGTGTTTGGTGGAGCTCCCAGTTTAAGATAGGGCTAGAAGCAGGAGTGGCATCCACTTCCTAAACCACATGCCTCTGGAAATCCTATGAACTCTGATAAATGATGATAGTTATAGAAAGGCTTCAGGCCTTTTGTTTATTTGATCGCAATCAACAACAGCAACAACATCAATATCATAATGTTACCTTTCAGTCGAGTGGTGAGAATTTTTGTTTTCTTCACGTTGAGATGTAATCTATACTGAAAGCTGTATTCTTTGGTCCTTTGCAGCAACTGCTTTAAGTCGTCCTCACTTTCAGCAAGCCAAGTTGTGTCATAGACATAATGTAGGTTACTGATGAGTCTTCCTCCAATTGTGATACCACAACTTTCTTCATACAGTTCAGTTTCTCAATTTGCTCAGTATACAGATTGTTACAGGAAGGATCAGAGCAGTGGAGAGGGTTGGGGGGAAAAGAGGAAAGCCCTCAAGCACATGGAGTGACACAGTGACCGTGAGCTCCTGCACGGAAGGAACTGTCTAGACTGGCCAGGGCTCTGGCCCCTCTGTAGACGAGGTCACTATGCATGTAACAGGAAATGGGCATCTACCGTGATCCCTGGGGATGTTTATGAGAGCCACAGATCTCAAGTTCGCTGTGATTTTCATTTTAAAAGATAAACTCTCATCATGTTGGAATAGTTGTCATGACGCCAAATAGTTTGAGAAACACTAACAGATGCCACAGCGATCATTCAGGAGTGTGGTTGGGTGTTTGTCCTTCTTGCCAATGCTGGGCAGACATTCCGGGTAAAAATGCTCTGAGGAAGGAGACTGCAGACCTCACAAGGACCACAGACACCATATTCTGAGGACAGAGTGCTTCCTCTCTACGAATTTAAGAGTAAAATAATTTGTAAACATTCTTAACAATAAGGCAATTCACATGTGATGGTTCTCAATTTGAGCAATTAAACTGGAAAAAAATGCAAGAATTTAAAAACAAATACAAAGCTTCTTTTTACCTTAAATGCAGATCTGCCCTCTGCCCTCACAAACCAGCCTGCGTGATCTCTCAGGCAGTGGAGGGAGCAGTCACGGTCTGGAGACCCACTCACCTCAGAATGTTTTACGATCGCTTCTAAGCAGAACGTCTCTACTGTGGCTGAAGGAACCTTCCCAAAACTTTCCGCGTAAGGGAGTCCATTTCCTCCGAAACACCACAATCCACCCTGAAGTAAGAGGCGGATTTTTCAATTAGCTTTTTACCCTGACTTGCGTTAACGCTCACAGAGCAGGTAACTGATTTTATACTCGTCAGACTCTGTGGCCATGATGACAATTCTCACAGTTACAGCATCCGTCCCTCCTCCCCCTTGTGTTTCCTGTTTTCTCTCATCCTTCTTTCTTATTCCCTCCTGTGCTCTGAGCTTTAATTGCAGGCAAACGCTGCCCTTTTGATCACGTATAGTTGGTGTTCTATAGAGCGTCTCCAATGTTATAATCAGAATTTTTACTGATAAGATGAATCTTTTTCTTACTCAATATATTTGTAAACACGCAGCATTAGAATGTACTGTTGGCCACCAGCCACCTGTCAGTTTTTCTTACTGTGGTGGCTTGTGTAGCACTGCGTTGCTGGCAGCTTGACCACTGGGATTTCAGATACCAGCAAAGTCACCGGCAGTGAACAGACTCAGTGGAGCTGCCAAGCTAAGCCAGACAAGGAAGGCCTGGTGTTCTGCTTCTGAAAAGGAGTCAACAAAAGCCTCGTGGATCACCACAGGACACAGTGAAGCCGAGGGTCAGTGAGGGCGCCAGAGATCCTCAGTGACATGGACTGGTTAACAGTGATAAACACGGCGGCAATCCTGAGACTAACGTGGGACCAGGCAACGTTTCATTCTGTCGAGTGAGTTAACTCTCTAGCAGCCAACACCAACAACACAGGTGAAAACTGCAAGGGACTTGAAGATTCTCGGCAGCCCAGCAGGGTATCTAGGACAGAGGCGGCAGCACACAGACTCACTGAATGACCAGCGTAGCGTGGGCACCACGAATGCTCACAGACTGAGCGAGCACACGGGCTTACCTTCTGGGCAGCCAGACTCTGACTGCTCTCGCTCAGCGCCAACGACGTGAAGTATTGGACACACTCGTCCACCTCTGTCTGTGGCAGGGAGGCCAGCAGGTGCCTGAGCTCCTCTTCGATGCAAGAGTCCTGAAGAAGAGGGATAAGTCTTCAGTGAGAGCTCCGTGGCTGAGCATATCAGCGGGCATCCAAGGAGAAGACCAAAAGCAAAATGCAGCAGAGACGTGTAAGCGTACCAAGCCCGGTACACGCCAAGTCAGTGAAGACGTAAGTTTATAGTTTCATGTCTCAGAGAAGGCACGTCAGAGTGCTCCTGAGAGGAAGAGGGGAACAGTTCACCTCACACGCTCTGGGCATGTTGCTAGGAGATGTTATTCCCTGGAGAGAGACATGCTTCGAAAGGTGAAGGGGTTACCAATGAAAGAATTTTTCTGTTACTTTTCAAAGAGAAGAAGGAACTCGGGGGAGGCGTGGGCAGGGAGAAAAGTGCAACAATGAATGAATGGAAATCCAAAATCTCTGTAAACATTCATTAAAGTTAATAAATTTTTTTTAAATGGAAGGTGGAGGGGTGGCGTAAGGGGGGAAGAGCCTCACCCAGGTGGTCTGATACAGTGACTGCTGTGAGGGGCTCAAGTGTGTCAGAGACGATGAGGACGGGACAGGACGAGGTTCAGCGCTGTGGGTCACAGGGTCGCTGTGAGATGCTCTCAACCCCATGGCATCTAACACCACCAACAACTGAAACCTTCAAGCTGGCTCGAGTACACCATCACCCAGCTGTCAGTCTGTCCTGCTATGGTGGCTGTGTACCACGAATGCCACCAGTATTTCGAATACCAGCAGGGTCACCCAAAGTGGAGAGACTCCAGCAGGACTTGTAGACTACGACTAGGAAGAAAGGCGTGGTGATCTACTTCTGAAAACTCACCAGTGAAAACCATCTGGACCACAACAGAGCACTGCCCCGCACAGGACGGGAAGCCGAGCCTGCCAGGCGGAAGACATCAGAAAACGTACTGGCCACACGACAGGCTCCAGGCAGCTACGATCCTGAGGACAAGGCCACGTGGGCTGGCTGTGTCGGTTGTGCAGTGAGTCAGAGCCGGCCCCATCATGACAACGACAACAACAACAACAACAACAACAACAACAAATAAAGCTATTCTTACAATCCACAGATCACACTATCTCACTTCCTCTAATAACTGGATGTAGGACATACACACTTGACTCCACGGCACCTAACAACAACAACAACAACAGCAACAGCACATTCATCCGTCTCTCTTTGAAAAGCAGAGTGCGGCTGTAGAAACTGTGAGGCTCTTCCTGCTCCAGCCCAGCCAGGCGCGGCAGCATCTATGGCAGGGGTCTGTTCATCAGTCTCTATGGCAGGGCGGGATCAGCCCCCAGGAAACAGTCTCCAAGGGCAGCAGGTGAAGGAACCCTGGTAGCACATGAGTTAACGTGCCTGCCTGCTAACCCAAAGGTCAGCTGTCTGAAGCCACCACATGACCTGGGGGAGAAAGGGGTGCCAGTCTACCTCGGCAAAGATGTACACACACCCCCGAGTCCCCGTGGGCCAGGTCTACCCTGTCCTGCAAAGCTGCCGAGCTGGAATGGGCTTGATGGCAAGGGGGGTTGGGTTTGACAGAACTGGAGGTCAGAGACGCACGGAACAGCTCCCAGAGCAGAGACGTGTTGAGGAAGAGAGAACTGAGCTATGAGAACCTTCGACCAAACATGAGCTCACCACACGGCTGTGCTAGGACCTCCTGACGTGTGCAGGGACGCCCAGCTCTCAGCGGATGCAAAAATCCCTGAAAAACAGCACAACCCCTGAGGAGCCCTAAAAGCTTTCTACGAAAACTGCCATTTCAGCTCTCCACCCTGATGCTTGTGAAAATCACCAACAGGTACTCTCTGAACCTCACGGGAGAAAGGAAGACCTTCAACCAGGTGGACTGACACGGTGACTGCTGCAATGGGCTCTAGTGTGTCAGGAAGTGTGAGGATGGCACAAGACAGGACTGGGTCACATGAGTCCTATTTGACTCGACAGCATGTAACATCAACAAGCCCTCTGTGAACAGCTACTCTGTACCGAAAGGGAAGGTGATGTGTCTGTTTCCAAATTTTGGATGATCTTATTTACTTACGTCTTTTAATGGTGGCAAAGGAGGAGGTGGGAGGAAAAAGCGAAGGTCACTCTCTTTGCTTCGTGCCAGGCCCACCAGTGTCCTCCTGTCACAGGCCTGGGCGATGATCCTGTACTGGTAATCTATTGTGAAAGGACATTTAACCCCAGGTTAGTTTACAGCTGATGCAAGAACTGAATGAGTCAACTACCTGGAGGCACTTTCTCAACTGCCGCACAAATAATGAGCTTATAAAGAGCACGCTGACTGCACTGCCTCCGACAGATTTTTCTTCTTCCCCTGACAGCCCATGATAGTATATTCAACACATCACATCACAAAAAGCATCAGCTCTTCAGTCTTTTTTACACACCGTCCCTCTTTCACATGCCTTCAGAACAACTAAAAATACTATGAATCAAGCACATCCTAGTCTTTAAGCTGACATCCTTGTTCTTTAGCTCTTTAAGGTCCTTGATAGCCAAATTCCCCAGCGCAACATGCCTTTTCATTTCTAGATTGCTGCGACTATGGGTACTGATCACGGCTCCAAGTAAACGAAATCACTGACAACGTCAATCTCTTCTCCATCTGTTGTGCTATTGCTTGTGGGTCCAGGGACGAGGATTTTTGCTTGCTTGATGTTGAAATGCTATCCACATTGAAGGCGGTATTCTTTGATGTTCCACAGTAAGTGCTTCAAGATTTCTTCACTTTCTGCCACCAAGGTTGTGTCAGGTTGCTAATGAGTCTTCCTCCCATCTTGATGCCACATTCTTCTTCACAGTCCAGCTGCTTGAATGATGTGGTCAGCACACATAGGTATGCAGGAAGCATATAACCCCGACGCACGCTCTGTTCTGTTCAGACAACTGCTTGTACAGGCAACAGGTGTTGCCTCTAAGGCTGCTTCTCACAGGGAAGGATGACGAAACTTCATCTCACGGACTTCAGGCAAGATGTCGGGGCGCCAGTCCTTGCAAAAAGCCACGATGCTGGGAAAGGCAGAGGGTCGGCAAACGCGAAGATGACCCTTAGCAAGAAGGACTGACAAGGACATTGTCCGAACGAGCCTGAGCATGGCGGGTGGAGACGGAGGCAACAGCACAGGATGGACCAGGTTCCGATCTGCTGCTCAGCGTGTTGCTATGAGCTGTATTCAACTTGATGACACAGAAGTTGGTAGTTCAAAATATTACAAGTGTTTCTTCACAGCTGCATTTATAAGAGATGGGGACACTCAGGAATGGAGGTCAGGCCAGAAAGCGTGAAGGCAGAGGGCTAACAGCTGAGAGAACTGCAGCCCCTATGCTACGGCTTTCTGGGTTTTTACTGAGAATCATCAGGAAGTAAACTAAAAATCAAGAGGGATTGAAAAAACCTCAGAAGCAGAAGCAAAAAAAAAAAATGCCAGGGGAGAGTAGTGAGGTAAAGAAAAAATCCACACCTTCAGGGCTTTGTAGAAAATGTGGAAAAGGATATCATTGGACTAATGAATGGAGATCTGTATTTGACAAACAAGGTAACAACAATGGGTTGGGAAACTTAACAATGCGAGCTGCCAGCTGTATCCTGTGAGCAAAGACAATCTCGCTGTGAACAGAGGCAGCATATTTCAGACTTATTTCACACCACCTCAGGAAGTGCCACATTAGATACAGCTCTTCCTGATAATATTACTCTTCTACCAGACTTGGGCCAGGAGGCAGTCATCAGAACAGAGCAAGGAAAAACTGCATGGCTCAAAATTGGGAAGGGTGTGCGTCAAGGATGTGGCCTATCTCCATATCTTTTCAACCTACATACAGAACAAATTATCTGGGAGGATGGGCTCTATGAGGAGAAGTGTGGCATCAGGATTTATCAACTTATCAACAATCTGAGTTACGCAGATGACACAACCCTGCTTGCTGAAACTAAGGAGGACCTGAAGCGTTTGCTGTAGAAAGTCAAGGATTGTTGCCTTCAATATGGATTGAAGCCCAACGTCAAGAAAACAAAGATTCTCACCACTGGGCCGATTGGCACCATCATGACAGATGAAGAGATT